TCCGCGGGCCCCCCGCGCGGCTGAGAGCTCGTTTGGCTGCGGAAGCCGCAGGACAGAAGTGGACAAAGCAAGATGGCAGGGATCTTAGCCTGGTTCTGGAACGAGAGGTTCTGGCTGCCGCACAATGTCACCTGGGCGGACCTGAAGAACACGGAGGAAGCCACCTTCCCGCAGGCTGAGGACCTCTATCTCGCTTTCCCCGTGGCTTTCTGCCTCTTCATGGTGCGGATCATCTTCGAGAGGTAAGAAGGGCTGGAGCACTCTTCCCCTCCCCCTGCACACGCACACACGCGCGCACACACACTCGCGCGCACACGCACACTCGCGTGCTTCGTGGCGCACGGCCCCGCGCCCCGGGCGCTCGCGCTCACGCCTCTCGATGGTTGTGTTCAGGGAGAGGTTACTGACCCCTCTGCCCTGCTGGCTTTCTGCAAACCAAAGAGAGTCTGGCTCGCCTGCGGATTTCCTCCGGGGCGCCAGGAACCCGCCACGCGTCGTTGGGGTCGCCCGCCGCACCGCTCCTTGACCGGGCTTATTCCTTCTCGCGGCGAGGGCAGGCGAACAAAGGTGAACCGCGGCCCGCGGCGGGACGCGCCACACTCCGCTGGCTCGCGGGTCCACACCGCGTGCCGCGCTGCCAGGCAGGGCTTCCCGGTGGATGCTCGCCGCCCCCCACCTGCCAGCCAGGAACGTTCGGGATGCGGGGCCTGAAGCCAAGAAGAACCGTGCACACTACCATTCTTCCACTCCAGCACCAGGATGGTTGCGGGTGTGCCTCAGAATTCACCAGGGACTTCTAGGCTTCTCTGGTCGCTAATTCGGTTTCCACCCGTAACACGGAGTATCAGGCCCATAGTTCTGAGAAATAGGTGATGAGAACCCTCCAGGCGATTAAAAGAGGGTTTAACAGAATGGGTACACACGTCCTGCAAAATGGTGATGTTAAATTGATAGCCGTGCTCTGTGAATAATCGTAAACTTTTTAAATAGCAGAACGCACTTTACAAAATTTGAAGATTGTCATATAATTGTTTGTATGTTTCTTCCATTTAGTTGAATAGCTCCACGGTGTCACAGACAAACTTGTATTGCTCGTTGAATCAATCTTAGTCGCTAGATATTGCCTGCCATGCTTTCTCAAGTGCTGTTGAAATAAAACCAAGACAGTAGCACATACCTTTTTTCTCAACTGGAAACGTCGCTGCCCCCTTCTTTGACCTCCCGTTTCCCAGTTCACCAGTGAAGGTTTTACTTTATAGATCACAAAGTAGGCTTTAGATTCCAATTCTCACTTTCAGTACACTCTCCCTGACACCCCCCCCACACACACACACACACATACTGTACCTTGGTTTTGTTTAAGCTTTTGTTCTGTTATCTTGTTTACTGTTTTTGTCAAAAACTACTAGGAAGATGGCAGAATGTATCTTTTGTGTCATTTGTTCTGGAAATAACAACAAAGCTCGATGTGAACAGAAAGTATCTTTTGTCTAAGAAAGGTGTATTTTTTTTTCCAGTGGGCAATATTGTTGCTTCACAACTAAGTGGTTTCCATGCAGAACTTGACATACACAAAGAAGCACATTTAAAGACCTTCTTTTGAAATGACTGCTACCCAATACAGATAGGTCATAGATCCTGTCCAGGACTGAGACTTATTGTAAAAAGAGTGGGTGTGTTTGCAGGTTTAGAGTTGTTTCTAGAGCGAATGTTTACCTAATTCATATCTAACCTTGTAGATCTCTCCAAAGACAAGCAGACTCTAAGGGACACAGGTTGTCAGTGTTGGCACAGAGCGGTACTCCACACAGGATTGCTGAATGCTGTCTGATGAATCCTGTCTGGATTTTTTTTTTTTTTTAAGATAGCTAATGCATTTGAAAGAAATGCGAAGTCTGAAGACCAAAAACCATGTCAGCTTATGACCTGGATGCAGAAGGCTGCATTTTCTTGACATTCTCTTTATGCTGGTTTCAGGCTGTTCATTAGTTTGAGGGCAGGGAGCAAATTTTAGAGAATGGAGATTGCTTTATACTTAAATGCTCTCTGCCTTAAAAAAGCAAGAACAAATGTAATAATTGAAAGCTCAAAGTTTATCTTTCCTTCCTTTGCATAATCCCATGACTTGACTTATAATTTACTTAATAAGATCTACTTTTATTGATCAGTCACAGCAGATGTCGTCATGATGAGATGTAGAAAGTTGGTCACTTTCCTTCTCACCATTGATCTGAGTAGAAGTGATTTGATGGCCTTTATGGAAAGTGGAAGTTTATGACTATTGTTGAGAATAATAATCCAATAGAGCACACGTACCACAGGATGCTACTGACCTTTGGAAGGGTGTCCAGTTTCTCTTAGAGAAGTAACAATTCTATTTTAACCATTCGGACTTCCTTGATCCTCTGAAAATCTTAGTGTAAGTTGCATCTAGAGTTAGATGTTTTGTATATTTCTGTTCTTTTCAACCCTAAGTGATATATTCTGGGATCCACCCTATGGCCTTCATATCAGTTGCCTCCATCAAGGTCTGAGTCAATATAATTGAACCTGCCAATATTGTAAGCACTGACCAACTTATTTTCAATACTCTTCTTACATGTCGTGGAGAAATCTTTTTTTTTTTTTTGCAGTGATTTATAATGCGTACTTATAATTGAAAGAAGCTGGTTTTGAATCACTTTGTGAAATGAAAGACTTTTGTAATAGGAATAAGTCACTCAATATTCTATTCCTTTAATGCTGCTATTGTCCTTTATTTCAAAGCTGGAGCATATGTAGTAGATTCTCCAAGATCTTTATTTCCAGTAAATGAGGTCAGTAATGTCTTGCCGAGGCTAATATTGTGAATGTGAATGCCTTTTCAGTCTTACGTATTTATTTCTATTAAGGGAAAACTCAAGGATGAACTGAATTGGGCAAAGCTCAATTCAATACTTCTGATTTTTGTTTGTTTGTTTGTTTTCACTCCCACTGTTGGGTGTTGACAGTGAAGACACCGGTAGCCAGAATATGCCACTTTATAGCAGCATATGGACAGCAATATGGAAGCACAGCATGGTTGGTTAAAAATGGAGCAGCCTAAGGTCAGTGGCTTTTGGCTGAGTCTGTGGAGAGCACAAGCTTAGTGTTTTTTGTTTTTGTTTTTGTTTTGTTTTTATCAGTCTGTTGATGGTACATTTTAGGTAGGGACCAAAAAGACCATTGTAGATACTATTTGATTGACATTAAAATAGCTATTATTCAAAACAAAACAAAACAAAAACGATTGGATGATTTGTCTTAGAATAAAACTTGTGGTGTATACCATTATATTATGCTGGTGACTTTGTGACAAAGAAGAAAATACTACTAATTATGTAGCATTATCATCTATTTGATGAACTTTCTCCATGTGATGTTTGTGTGGACTCAGTAACCCCTTTTCCTGAATCATGATAAATGCTTCTTCCACCTTTGCTTTCTCAAAAATGTGTCTTGCTATGGTATCCATAAATGTGGGATTAAAGTTCTGCTGAATATCTGTTGGGAACTATTACTTGAGTTATTGTTATAAAAGGTAACTTTAATGTATTTTCTTTCTTGTAGACTTGGGAGAGAGATGCAGAAAGTATTGTCTGGGACTCAGAACACCTAAATTGTAGTCAAAATTTAGCTCACACTGGAGCAGACTCCTGAATGATCTGCTTAGTTCTCATTTATACAGCGAAGGAAACGACCTGTATAATCTAAGCTTGCTTTCATCCCTCCAATTTTCTGATTCCTGTGGCCCCGCTCTAGTTTTTCCCTTTATTTATGACAGAGCACATGTGTATGTGTATGCAGGGAAGGCGGGGTAGCATCCTCCACAGGATCTGCTCATGCCATGACCCGCTCTGCCAGCCCTCCAGATTCCGGGACCTTGCTCGCATGCCCAGTGTGTTTCAGGCTGACTTGCCCCGGGTTTCAAACTGTGGTTGCCATGGGATCCATTCTCTTCTGAGGAGCACATTACTCCCGTGCCACAGAGCCAGCCCAGTCCTCTATCTGGAGCTTGATATTATAATTGTTATCTCATGAAACCTTGAAGCAGGCTAAACATTTTTTGGGCAGGCAGAAATATATCCTCTAAGAATTAAGAGTTTGATGTTTTCATAGAGTTAGTCTAGTCGGTGGTTTTGATGCTTGTCTCTCTCACTTGTATTTCTGAGTTAAAAGAATCATTTGGGCAGTTATCATTTGTACTGCAAAAAGCTATAGTATTTCAGAAAAACGAACAAAGAAGATTGTACAAAGGAAACAATTGTTCCTCCTCTTCCCACCCCCACCACCACCCCGGACATCTTTTAGAAAGAACCCAGAGTAGACCTGGCACCTCTCGTGATGACTGATAAGAAATGAATGGCTCCCGTCTGTTAGGTTGGCTCTCAGAATGCCAAGCCATGTGAGGAGCGTCATCCTTTATGTGTTTCATCCCACCAGACAGTGGGGCCTATCTCATTCAGTCCAAGAATGATCTGCCCCAAGTCTTCAAGGAACAATGGTGTCTCAGTTGTGTCAAAGGTATTTTCTGGCCAGTGGGATTCTTCTTTGAATTTCCTTAATGCCTTAGCCTTATCAACAGCTTTAGATGAGGCCCTGTAGGACAGTTGAGATGGAAGATGGAGGGAGAAGAAAAGTGAGAAAGGAGAGGAAAAGGGAGGAGAGAGAAAGGGGAGGAGACGAGGGCAGGGGTGGTGGTGGTGGTGGTGGTGGAGTGTGTGTGTGTTCCTGGTGATTAAGGGAGAAGGAGAGGAGAGAGTGAATGACTACAGGAAAAAATAGGGTGGTAGGTGAAGTTCATTACTGAAGGATGTTTCTGTCACATACTTGGTGATGAAGAGAGTGATGTTCTCAGATATATTTTAGAAGAGCGAGAACAACTTGCACAAATATTTTCTCATGCAATCAGTGCTGGAGGTTGAACTATGTAAATGCACCTTGTTTAGTTGTTCAGTGCTGGTGTGATTCAGATGAAAACTGTAGATACGTACTTTGCCTGAGAGTGGTAGGAGGCAAGAGTTGGGTTCAGACACAAATAGGTTGCCTCCCGTAGTGTCTGACTGAGATAGAAAATTGAGTTAGAATGGATGTTTTGTAAGAAAACCATCTAAAACCAGAGGATTGGCTTTCTTAGCAGAACTTTAGTATGACTTTTTCATTTGGCAAAATAAAAGGTTTGCACTTACAGCATGCATTAATTTGACTATGTTAGGATAATTTA